AGATCAGGTGTGAGGTGCAGTGCAGGTAAGGGGGGGGGGAATTGTGCATGTATGCAGGGGGAGCATTGCATTCTGGGTGCTGGCACGCGAGTGCACGCGCGCTAATGCATGCACAATTTTTGGCACAGGAGCCCAAAAAGTTTAGCCACCACTGACCTAGAGGCTCTGAAAACCCCTTGGAAGGCTCCGTTACTTCTTCCAGGAAAAAGGGAAGAGATATTTGGACATGCAGGGAGTCCTCAACTTGGAAACTACAACAAAAACACTTTGGGGGGGAAAGCAACTAGTTGTTTTTCACACTTATGACTGTAGCAGCATCCCCAATGTCGCAGGATTGAAATTTGGCTGTTTAGCAACTGGCACGCATTTGTGACAGTTGCCATGTCCCGGGGAACATGTGGTCCCTTTTGGGGGAACCTCCTGGTAAGCAATGAGGAAGCCATGTGTTGCTAACTTAATAAACTGCAGGGATTTGCTTAACAAGTGTGGCAAGGAAAGTGCATAAAAAATGGAGCAAAACTCACTTAAAAGAAGCTATCTTGCTCCACAAGGGAAATACTGAGTGCTCTCTGTTTCTCGAGCCACTTCCATCTGCTCGAGGAGGAGGAGGAGGAAGGGCTGGATCTAAGAGGGGAAACTCAGGTCAAGAGCAACAACTCGGGAACATATAGAATACTTTATAGAATTCTTTATTGGCCAAGTGTGATTGGACACACAAGGAATTCGTCTTGGTGCAAATGCTCTCAGTGTACATAAAAAGAAAAGAGACATTCATCAAGAGTCAAGAATCATCAGGTACAACACTTAATAAGAGTCACAGGGTGCAATAAGCAATCAAATCATTCTAGGAAATAGTCAATAAAAATCGTAAGGTTACAAGCGACAAAGTTACAGTCCTACAATCACAAGTGGGAGGGGACGGGCAATAAGGAGTGGTGAGAAGATTAACAGTAATACCAGTGTACACTTTGTAAATAGTTGAACAGTGTTGAGGGAATTATTTGTTTAGCAGAGTGATGGCGTTCAGGAAAAAACTTGTGTTCTGATGTGCAGTGCTCTTTTGCATCATTTTGAGGGCAGGAGTTGAAACACTTTATGTCCAGGATGTGGGGGGTCTGTAGACAGCCCTCTTTTTGACTCATGCAGTATACGGGCCCTCGATTGAAGGTAGGTTGGTAGTAATTGGTTGGTGTTTTTTTTTTTTTTGCAGTCCTATCAGATTTCACAAGAATCAGAGAACAAATAACTGATACAAACTCAAGGTAAACTGCTCCAAACTTGATTGCAGAAAATACTTCAGCCACAGAGTAGTGAACGCCCTACCCGACTCCGTTGTTACAGCCTCAACCCCAAGCTGTCTACCATGGACCTCACCCCATTCCAAAGAGGTCCTTAAAGGGGGCGTGCATAAGCGCACCAGCGTGCCTACTGTCCCTGCCTTACTGTCCTTATTTATCTGCATTTACTCCCTTTGTGTATGTTCGTACTCACACTTGCTATCTTGTACATGTTTGTTGACAAACAAACAAATAAAATTTTTAAAAATCCCGCCGAGCTCCATGGGGCAGCTTATTTTCATTTGCAAGCAGCAGTCAAGAAGTGGGGTGCAAGGAGAGGGGTTAAATGGGGGACCAAGCAGGAAGAGAGACACTTTCAGTCACTCATTCCCCCTTGCAGAGTGAAAAGGATTCAGCCCAGGAAACACTTTTGCACTGCTGCACCCTTCATTTGTAACTTTTCCTGCCTATTGTGACATGACATTAATTACATCATCTGGCCCTGGGCTGTTTCTGGATTTTTTCAGTAGGCCACAGAGTAATTCAGAAGCTGGGAAGAAAAAAGCTGTGGTTTTTTTTTTTTAATCTGAATTTCTTTATTTCTTTGTTTAAAGGAGTGATATTAAATCAGAGAGGGAGAAAACCCTTTGAAGAAACGGCTGAAATGGAAATTAGGAAAGCAGATAAATATATAATGCAGGAGTCAAAAAGACTCCTTTGAAGTGGTGGAGAAAAAAAATGCTAGAAAGAGGGAAACTAACCCTAGAAGTTGTTTTTTAATAAGCAGGTCATTAACATAAATGGGTTTGCAGGAAGTTGGAAGGCAGGAATGGTAAAGGAAAAACGGAAGTTGGGGAAAGCTAACACAGGATCGGACTGAGTTTTTGGATCAGTAGGAATTCTCAGCCCAAGTTTCAGATGCTGAAAAAAAAAAAGCATTTGCACAAGAAGGTTTTTTCCTGCTTGGTCCCCCAACAGGCAGACTAGACCAGGAAATCCACTTCGCAGGGAAGTTAGGATTCCTTTTACTGAAATTGGCTGTAAAAAACAGAATCTTGCTTATCTGGTTGTCGCAAACCTTCTTATATATCTAGCGCAGAGGTCTCCAAACTTGGCAACTTTAAAGACTTCTGGACTTCAATTCCCAGAATTCCTCAGCCAGCATTAGCTTGCTCTCTTGTAAATCCCTTCCTCTGCAATCTCTCTCCACTTTAGGAGGTTAAGAGAAAAAAAAGAAACAGACGCGGCTGGCTGGGGAATTCTGGGAGTTGAAGTCCACAAAGGTCTTAAAGCTGCCAAGTTTGGGGACCATCCTGTGGATCTCCTCCATCAAGATGGTGGGGGGAGGTGTCAAACTCACGTCATCATGGCAACATCATACGATGTATTGTGACCTTTCCCTCCGCCCCTTTGCTAAACTTGGTGTGTGGGCCTGGCCAACGCGTGATGCATCCGAGCTGCAAGTTTTGACATTTCTGGTCAAGATCATCTCCCTTATTCTCCACACCAACCTTAGCAACTTTTTAAGAGGGCTGGACCTCAAACTCCCAGAATTCCCTAGTCAGGATGGGGCTCTGCTCTTCGTTCACACAAAGACCGATGCAAACCATTGCTGTACTGCTGAACAAAAAATTACTGGCAGGCCCCTTGGGATCAGTGACTTTTCCAACACTACTTTTCTCACTCAGTACCACCATTGCGCCTGCATGCCAGGCAGTGTCTCTAAGATCCAGCAAACTATCCCTGCGGTGTAGGACAGGGCCTTGGCCATCCATAGAGAGGCCAAAAGGCCCAGCCTAGACACTCAGGAAACCTTCCTGCTGTGACAAGAGTAGTGTTAGGGAAGTAAAGGGAACACCCATATTTGCTGGGAGGAGGAAGAGAAATCCAGAAGGAACTTCTCTGAGAAATGAAAAGGCAATAATTCCCTCAACACCATCAAACTATTTACTAAGTCTGCATTACTAATTACTATTAATCCTCCCATCCTTCCTTTCACCCATCTCCTCCCACTGATGACTGTATGACTGTAACCTTGTTGCTTGTATCCTAATGATTGATATTGACTGTTTCCTCGTATGATTTGATTGCTTATTGAATTGAATTCTTTATTGTCATTGTATGTATATACACAGTATACATACAAGGAAATTCACATAACACCCAGAGACAAGACCCAAAACGCACACACACATGACAATCCCCAAACATCTCCCCACCCACCAAAATTCCCCACCTCCTAAAAACACACAAGCACCCACACAACAGACCAAGTAATCCTGTCCAACAGCTCACTTATGGTGGTCCTTAAGTTCATTGTTAAGTGCAATTATAGCTCTGGGATAAAAATTGTTATTGTACCCTCTGACTATTATTAAGTGTTGTCCCTGATGATTCTCGACTCTTGATGAATGTATCTTTTCTTTTTATGTACACTGAGAACATTTGCACCAAGACAAATTGCTTGTGCGTCCAATCACATTTGGCCAATAAAAGAATTATTTATTTATTTATTTCCTTCCTTCCTTCCCTTTCCTGTCTATCTAGGGAGGAGATGGCTCATGGCCTCTTAAGAGTTAAGCCAATGCACCCTGGAAGCAACACATCCCCATATGTGAGTCAGCCTTTCATGTTCTTCCTTGGAAGTAAAACCCACCCATACTGGATCAGGAGGGTCTTACAAGCAAAGGAACAGAAATGAATCGGTTGTACTCATTGCTTTAAAAAAAAAAAAAAAAAAGGAGGCAGCTCCCTGGGGGAATTTCCTTCCTGGACAGGAGAAAAAGACCCCAGGGGGAGAGCTTGGGCCAGGGGTCTCCAACCTTGGCAACTTTAAGCCTTAGGAGACTTCAACTCCCAGCATTCCCCAGCCAGCTTTGTTTTAAAATTGCCAAAGTTGGGAGACCACCCCCTGCCCTAAATCATTGCAAAAGCAATTGCACAAAGGATTCTGGGAGTTGAAGGCTCCTCCAAGGCTTCAAGTTGCCACGGTTGGAGAAGGCACCAGTCACCTGAAGGCATTTGATAAGGAGGAAAAGAACAGGCAAAGGAAACTTGTCAGGAAGTTCCACAAAAGCAGCTGCTTCTCTTCTGGGCTGGAGGAAGGGAAAGGAAGGGAGGAAGGAGGTGGCTTTCCCGAGAACTGCCTGCTCTGTCCCCCCACCCCCCAGGGGGGTTCCGACACAAGAAGTTTAGAAGGGACTTGGCTTGCAGTTGCAAAGCCGCCTTACAGCAATTGCCTTCTATGAAGGCCCCTAAATCAGGGGTCTCCAACTTTGGCAACTTTAAACCTGGAGGACTTCAACTCTCAGAATTCTGGGAGTTGGAGTCCTCCAAGTCTTAAAGTGGCCAAGGTTGGAGACCCCCTGCCCTAAATCATTGCAGAAGCAACCCCCAGCTTTGCTGGCTGGGCAGATTCTGGGAGTTGAAGTCCTCCAGGCTTAAAGTGGCCAATGTTGGAGACCCCCTGCCCTAAATCATCGCAGAAGCAACCCCCAGCTTTGCTAATTGGGGGGATTCTGGGAGTTGGAGTCCTCCAGGCTTAAAGTGGCTAAGTTTGGAGACCCCCATCTCCCTAAATCATTGCAAAAGGGAGCTTCGCCGATTAGGAAGCGTTCTCCCACCGGATCCCCGCTCGGGACAGCTCCGGCAAATGACTTGGTGGAGGGGAAGGGGGTCCCCTCCGACCCCGACCCCACCCCCCAGCCTCGTCCCACGGCTCACCCGGACCAGGTTGCTGACGGCGTCTCTCACGGCGGCCACCGGGCCGGTGAGGTCCGGGATGGCCTTGCCGTCCACCTCGCCCTCTTCGTGCATGATGACCAGGTGGGAGATCTGCTGGGCCACGGGCTCCAGGATGCTCTCGATGGTGCGGGTGTGGAAGACCGGCATGGCTGCGAGCGGGAGCGAGCGAGAGCCCTTTGAAGCCAAGAAACTTCCGACGGCCCCGGGAAAGGGAGCAAAAAGCAAAGCGCTTGCTTGAGGGAAGCCCGGCGGACTTTTCGAGGCGGGAGCCGTCGAGGCTCGGGAGCTGCTGCAGCCGCGCCGGGACCCCTTCA